CACTTCAAAATAAATGTCATTTTCAAAGTTGACCTGTATGTGCAAAACCTTTGTCTAATGACTCCAATTATTTAGCCTTTGGTTCCAATGTTGTTTTTGCACCAAGAGTTTTACAAAAAATGACTCATTGGGATAAAGTTCGATATAAATGACATAATCATTGTTTGAACATCACTTGTATTTCAAATAACTGTTAAAAAAAATTTGCACTTCAAAATGAATGTCGTTTTCAAAGTTGACCTGTTTGTGCAAAACCTTTGCCCAAAGTCCCCACTTATTTACCCTTTGGTACCAATGCAGTTTTTTCACCAAAAGTTCTACAAAAAAATGGTTCCTTGGGGATGAAGTTCGATATAAATTTCATAATCATTGTCTGAACATCACTGGTATGTCAAATAAGTGTTAAAAAAATTTTGCACTTCAAAATCAATGTCATTTCAAAGTTGGATTGTTTATGCAAAACCTTTGCCTAAAGTCTCCACTTATTTAGCATTTGGTACCAATGCAGTTTTTGCACCAAGAATTCTACAAAAAATGGCTCATTGGGGATGAAGTTCGATATAAATGTCATAATCATAGTTCAAACGATATTAAAAAACAAGAAATATACCTTCAAAACACCTATGGGACCATAGTTGAAATAAGTGGGGACTTACGTTATGAGTTATGCACACCAGGGTAGACTGACTTGTACATAAAGTTTTGCAACTTAAAAAAATTGACTATCATGTCCAAACACCTTTAATTTCAACCAGGACGCTCTATCATGATCAAAACATACAGCCTAAGTCACAAAATGATCTTCAAAACAAGAAATATACTTTCAATATCCCTGTGGGACCATAGTTCAAATAAGTGGGACTTACGTTATGAGTTATGCACTCTATGGTAGATTAACTTCTACATAAAGTTTTTCAACTTAAAAAATTGACTATGATGTCCAAACACCTTTGATTTCAACAAAGATGCTCTATCATGAACAAAACATACACCATAAGTCACAAAATGATCTTCAAAAACAACAAATATAAAATGAAATTCAATTCAAATTAATGGAAAGAACAATTCTTTGTACATGAACATATTAACAAACATTTACATTTCCTATTCTACTTGAACATCGTCAACTAAAGTTCTTAACATTTAAAATCACTACAAATTATTCAACTATTCATTCTTTTCTTCTATCATCTACAGTAAATGAAGTTCTATTCGCTCGACTCTTGATCTTGAACCATCTTCGAGGTACAACCTTCATTCGATCATACATTGTGTTTTGCTTCATTTCATCCTAACGTTTAAACCTCGGGGTTTGGTGATAATGTTGAACCGGCGTAATTTAACAAGGATCTTCACCTCCACAAAACACTTTATCCCCAAACTCTTGACGTTATCTTAATTTTAGGCTTTCTCCCAACATCTAAGCACTTTTCAATATCCGGTATCTTTTCCTCATAACAACCACAGAAAAAAAGTGTCATTGCAATAGACAGGTTAGATCACTAAAGAAAAAAAAGATTCGATATACTCACGTTAGAGTAACTTTAGATGAATCATTTTAGGTTTACATATTTTTTCCAAAATAGAATAAAAAGGGAACATTTTCTTGTTTTATAGTTGAAATTTTAAAACTAGCAATTGGTAATTAATCAATAAGATTCTTTTAAGTCCATCCTATACCGCATTCCACTTCAAATATGAAGCCTAGACTGTTAGGTATCGCCAAAATTAAAAATATTTGACAACTTAGTTTGGAGTTTAAACCTAGCAACCTACATGGTGTCAATACAACTCAACTAAGCCACGAGGTGTGAACCCAACTGTTTGTTCTGGTCAAATCCCATATATGTTTAAAAAACTATAGAATTAGAATCATGACACAAGTCCCAGGATGAGTGATGAGAGGGTCGCACCTCCCACAAAAGTTGTGCATAAAAGAATGCAGTATAGTACTAGGAAGTGACTCCTAGGTCGTCTCTCAAGGACCAAATTGGGTTCAGTCTCAGATCAACACGTAGTGGGGGGGGTTTTGAAAATGTTTTTGTGATTTAAAACGAACTAAATTAAAACTTAAAATTAAACACAACTGAATACAATTAAAGATATTCAATTGCATCACCTAAACTAGAACATTAAATGCATAATGTTGTAAGCTATCCTACACATTCACCACCAAAAAAAAAATCATTTCAACATATAATATAAAATATTTTAAGGCAAAAGAAATAAAAGAAAATAAACTTCTCTACCATTAACCACTCATTCATCTATCAAAAGAAATTGAAATTGGCAAATGCTTCTAAAACATACTCCTTGGCCGTGACACTTCCATGTGTTCAGCATGGTGCCACCTCCCTACCTAACGTGTTGCT